AGGTTCCCCACCCAGTTACCCCTGAACTCCCCTCAATACCCCCTGTCAGGCCAAATGCCCCTAGGGCAGTGGTCAGCAAACTGCGGCTTGGCAAACCGCGGTTCGAGAGCCACATGTGGCTCTCTGGCCCCTTGAGTGTGGCTCTTCCACAAAATACTGACTTCTGCGCATGGGCCACGAAGTTTCAATCGCACTGTACGTGCGCGCCCGCACGTGGTATTTTGTGGAAGAGCCACACTCAAGGGCCCAAAGAGCCGCATGTGGCTCGTGAGCCGTGGTTTGCCGACCACGGCCCTAGGGCATTTTGTGAGGTCAGGGTCTGAGGGACTGAAACAGGAGAAAAGGCAAGCCAGCCCTGTTTATATTTCAGCCTAGAGACCATTCCTGAAGCCCTGCCTAGATGTATATAGCCTTACAATACCAAGCTGTTTGTCTTCTTTCGTTTTTCTCTACCTTCTGTCCCTCCCTCCCTCCCTTCCAAACCTGTCTCTGTATTTGTGGAAATTAACAGTGATTCCCTGCGTACACACCACCATGGTGGGGCCACGGGTAGGTGATGGGGGCAAAGGAGAGGGGCTGAAGAGGAAGCAGCATCAGGTAGGGGGTCAGTTGGTGGTGACAGCCACCCACAGGAGGAGAAAGCCACTGGGTCCCAGAACGCCTGGGACAGCGAAGCCGTGACTGCTGACCCAGTCTGGGTGGTGCGAGGCCAGGGAGGTACCCCACATTCTCCCCTTCTGTCTTGTTCCACCTTCCTCTCCTCATCCTCCCCAACCCCTGCCTCCCTCCCACTTCTGCCTCCCACTCAGTGAAGCTTGTCTCCTCTGAGGAGTGCCAGCCATATCAGGACAGCTTTGGAGCTGTGGGGGTTTCGACAGCCATGGCCCTGGGGGTCCAAGAGCACCTCTCCTGTCACTGCTTAGTGCTTAGGAACACCCCTGATTCCCCCTTGACATCACTATGTCTGTCCTCCAGCGAGCCAGAGGCGCCCCCCAGCCCCACCGCAGCCGCCGTCGTTTAAGCCGCCCAGATTGTGATACGTTGTTACAATAGGCCTAGAAAATTTATACTACGTTTTCAGTCACCAGGGCCCTCCACACCCGCTGTGGCCCCCAGTGCCTCTCACAATAGCTACAGAGACGAGGAGACAAGTTACCCCATGCCTGTCCAGGACACCCAGTCGCCAGCATCCCCGGGAGACGTATGTCCTCACGATCTGCCTTCTGCCCCCTGCTTTTGTGTTGCCATCTGCCTACTTCTGCTCACCCAGCCTTCCAGAAGCCCTCTCCTACACCCCACAAGTCATGCCTAATCTCTGCTCAGAACCCCAGGGCTCCCCTAATGGGATCTGCCCCAGACCAGCTCCCAGACTGTTGGCCACGGCTTCCCTCTGTGGCAGCCCCATCCTCTCATCAGCCAGCTGTGCGGTCACAGTTTGAGGTCTTTGCAATGGTGCATGTGAGATGTTGAGAGGCTAGGGGCTGACCAGATGAGGGGGCCTAAGGTAGTAGGAGGTGACGGGGTAGCCGGTGGAAGGTGGAGCTGCAATTATTGCCAATAAAGTGAAGTTTGGGGGAAAGAAGGCTGATTCTATTGGGATAGGATGAATGGGCAGTGGGTGTCCTGGAGACACCAAGCTGGATTTGAAGCCCAAGAAAGGGGTCTGTGCCATGGCCTCACAGAGGGGGACCTTTCTACAAGACCAGAGGGATGGATAGGGACTCCCCCGGGGACGGTGTGTGTGTGTTTTCTAGGAGGTGGGTTCAGAGTCAGCTGTAGAGAGGGTCTGGCTGTAACTGAAGCCAAAGCAGTGGCTTCCTTGTTTCTTGTGCTCGTGGTGTGGGCTGAGGCCTCTAGGAGCTGCCCTCAGGCATAAACTATCCTTTGCCAGCTCCTGGGAGAAGCAGCTGCCGTATTCACATTTTGCCTCTTGCAGAATTCAAAGAAGTCCCCACAGACAGACAGCTCTGAGGCTGACCTGAGGAGGCCCAGTGGCCCCCAGGAGCCCTCCTCTGACATGGCGTCCCTCAGCCCCCTGACCTCCAGTGGGCCTCAGGAGCAGGAAAAAGAACTGGGCAATACGCACATAACAGGTACGTATAGAATCTGGGGGCAAGGGCCTCTCTGATCCCTAAGTGAGGGTGAGGGTTAGAGTTGCCCCTCTGGCTTTCTTAGACAAGAGGCAAGGGTGGGAATGAAGGGAGTTTACCCCAGGGACAAACCCAGTTCCCTTGAGGGTGTATTGGCTAGCATTTGCTGTATAACAAACAGACCCCCAGACTCTAATAGCTTAAAATTTGACCATTTATTTCATTCATGATTCTGTGGGTCAGCCATTTGGGCTGGTATAACTGGTTCAGATCTTGGCTGAACTCCCTCTTGTGCACACACTAGCGTACATATAAGCTCTGCTTGTAGCTGTTGTCTGGGGCACCTTGGTTCTCTTCCACAAGTCTCATCCTCCAGCAAAAAGCCCATTTTATGGCAGCTGAGCAGAGCTCTGAGAAAGAGAGGGCTGTTGGGGCACAGGCTCAAAACTGGCATGGTGTTCCTCGTGCCGCATTGTATGGGCCAAAGCAAGTCATAGGCCAGCCCAGAGTCAAGGAGTAGGGAACATTCCATCCTTAGATGATAGGACTGACAGTCACATTTCAGAGGGCGTGGATACAGGTAGGAGAAGAGACTTGGGGCTACTCTGCACTCTACCAAAGGGACTGTGTAGGGATCTGCCAGTACCTGGAGGACAGTGCAGAAGAGGGAGTACAGGGCTAGGGCTGCTGTTGGCAGGGGAGCACTTAGGCACTGCCTGCCCTAAAATGGTCTCAAGCTCCCAGAAAATCATTAAAATTTCTCAGCCCCTAGCGGAAGTATGGTCTTCATCAGCCAAAGTCCTGAACCCCCACACCAGACCTCAGTATTCCCCCTTAGGTATGTAGAGCTGTCCACTCTGACCCTCCAGGCTGGCATCTCTCTGCGCCACTATTTCCCAAGCTGTGTTCCACATGACACCAGTGCTCGGCCAGCCCTCGGTGCCCCCGGGACAGCCACAAGGCACATGAGCAGTTAAAGGCTCAGAGAAGCCATCTTAGTGGCCCTATACTTCTGCCACCTCATACCCTGCCCCAGGCACCCATTTGCTTTTTGCAGTGTCAGCTTGCCATGCAATACCTTTCAGGAAATGCTGCTGTGGACCAGAGAGAGGCAAAGGGCACTTCGATTTCATTCGTGTGTGGACAGGTTCCACAGGATTCCTAAAATGGTCTCAAGCTCCCAGAAAATCATTAAAATTTCTCAGCCCCCAGCGGAAGTATGGTCTTCATCAGCCAAAGGCCTGAATCCCCACACCAGACCTAGAGCAGTGGTGTTATATCTGGGGTGGTGGGCAGGCACATCAGAAGCACTCCTGGCCCTTGTCAGCTGTAGGGTGTGGAGTATGCATTCTCAGAGTTCCATAGAAAATCCTGACATAACTGCCCTATGGACCATCACCCCCTGTTCCCTCTGCTTCCCCCAGGGCAGGCCCTCCTTCCAGGGGTGGCTTTGTGCCTGACCGCCCCCCCCACACACACACACACGCACGCACACATCAAGCCCTTAGGCCTCCTAGGAGGTATGCACGCACCGGGGGTTGGCTGGGCCTCTGGGACCACGTGACTGGTATGAGCTCTGCTTGAGCCATCCTGCTGCCCTGGTCCAGGATTGTCCTGCTGGGGTGAGGCAGGGAGAAAAGATGGCAATGGGAAGAACATCTAGGATCCTACCAGGCTAGGAAGGAGATGGAAAAGGCAGACACTGGAGGAAAGGCGGTGTGTCCCAGGCAGGGGGAGCAGAAGCAGAGCAGATAATTAATGATATTCAAGCTCCTAGAGCAGTGATGGCAAACCTATGAACTCATTTTTTTGGTTGATTTTTCTTTGTTAAATGGCATTTAAATATATAAAATAAATATCAAAAATACAAATCTTTGTTTTACTATGGTTGCAAATATCAAAAGATTTCTATATGTGACACGGCACCAGAGTTAAGTTAGGGTTTTTCAAAATGCTGACACGCCGAGCTCAAAAGGTTTGCCATCAGTGTGCTAGAGGCTGTTGGAGAGACGGACCATTTCATTCTCGTGAGAGAACAGACTCAGTGCTATAGGTCAGGGACTGAGGATAGACAGGACCAAGGATGTGTCCGTAGCTGTCGGGCCTTCAGGCCTGGGAGCAGTGACCAAAGGGACTGGGTAGGACGTTGGGAAGCCTTGATGCCATAGAGATGGTGTGAGCTGGGGCAGAGGGACCCTTTTCCAGCTCTTTGATCCCAGCCCTCCCGTGGGTTTGTGTTTCCTCTTTTGTCTTTCCACCTGCAGACACGGTCTCCAGCATTACATCATCCCATGGGCCTGTGTCTCCAACTGTCTCCTTCCAGCCCCTGGCCCGTTCTACCCCCCGGGCAAGCCGCTTGCCAGTGTCAGCTCCGTCTACTGGCACCTTCTCCTCCTCTGCAGGGGGTGCTAGTGATCAGGCTGAAACTACCACCTGCTCCAGTGGAGTAGCAGTACCCACCAACTCTGTGACCACCAGCACAGCACCTTCCAAGGTGCCCCACCACTCAGCACTTACCAGCACAGTGCCTTCCAAGTTGCCCACCAGCTCAGAGACCCCTGGTATAATGTCCTCTAATGTGCCCACCAGTCTAACACCTTCCAAGTTGCCTATCAGTTCAACACCTGCTGGCACAGTGTCACCCAAGGTACCTACTGGCTTGGTGCCTGACCACAGGATGCCCACGAGCTCGGTGTCCAGCAAGGTGCCTGCCAACACAGCACTCACCATCAGGAGTAGCAGCAGACCCTCGGAGGTGAGTCCTCACCCCTCCAAGCAGTGACCCAGGCCCCTTCCATAGCCCTGTTCTTGGACCCTTGCCAGTCTCCATTCTGGTTCAGAGCCTCTTTTTGAGGGTATAGGCACAGCTGAGAAGTAGGCTCATCCAGACCCCCACACCATGTCCTTTAGAGCAGCGGTCACCAACCGGTGGTCCGCAGACCACTGGTGGTCCATGAGGCCCGAAAGGTTGGCGACCGCTGGTTTAAGAAAACTTTAAGGAAACCTTTGCAGCAGCGGTCACCAACTGGTGGTCCATGAGGTTCGAAAGGTTGGTGACCGCTGCTTTAGAGTAATAACCATCAGTAGAGCTCTTAAGTGTGGATACCTCAGGAGAGTCGGACAAGGTGGGCCACCCCCACTGGTCACATGCATTAATCCATTTAGATCTCACAGCTCCCTGGTAAGCTTAGTAATTCAGTTTTGCAGAAGAGGGAGCAGTGAGAGAGAGCGGAATGGCCTGTCTGCCTCGACACTTTGGTCTGCCCCTCCATGACCCAGGTTTTACAGACAGCAGTCCCATCCCATCCAGCCCGGGCAGCGGCTCTGACCCAGCGGCCCCCCACAGCTGCCTCTTGGAACCTGCACATATCACCCTGCTGCTGCTCTCTGCCCACGCGGCCGGCCGCTCCATGGTCCTCAGGCCCAGGCTGAATCTTGGCTCAGGATGGGGCCATACACACCAAGGGCTCCCAGGGGTGGGGTTGGATTCACAGGCCAGTGAGTAGGGACAGGGCTGCCCTGGAAGAAGTCACCACTGACGCTGCTGCAGGGCCTGGGTCGCCTCCCCCTAACTGCTTTCCTAAACTATTGGTGGGTTGACTTCCTAAGAGGGTGACCTCATGGGTATAATGGGCTGGGAATTACAAGGTCGGGGTGCTAGTTCATGGCCTGGTCTAGGAATGGGGCCGTCCAACCTGGCTTGTCATCCCCAGGCCCTTCCATCCTCTCTCTCTCTCTCTCTCTCTCTCTGTCTCTCTCTCTCTCTCTCTCACACACACACACACACACACACACGCCACGAGACGCCAGTGTCTCCAGCGCCCACAAGTGCCACTGTTAGAGGCAGCTCGCCCTATGCAGACAGCCGCTCCAACAGCTGGGGCTCAGGGCTGGAGCTGAGCAAGCCAGGCGGGCTGTCTTCCCAGATAGACAGCCAGCCATTCTCTGGCTGCTCTGCGGACCTTGCCATCAGCTACAGCAACAACACAGACTCAGGACCTGACAACACGCCGGAGGAGAACGAGTACACGTCAGGAGACAGCCTTAGAATCCATGTAGCTGAGGGTCCCAGCGCTGACCTCCTGGCAGGCAGTCCTGGGCGGCACGCTGCCTCCCAGCTCAAGGAACAGAAGGAAGCGCGGTGTGATGGGGAGGCTCAGAGGGCTCCATGGCTTGGGGTGGCTGCTGCCGGGGCAGGGGTGCTCCTGGCCACGGTCCTAGTAGTTGTGCTGTACCGGCGGCGCCTACACCAGTGAAGCCCTCTGCCCTTCCCACCATACATCTGCTCTGTTCCCAGTTACACATCTGTCCTGAGGCATGCAGCCAGTCCCACTGTCCTTGTCCCTTCCCTGGGTCTGGCAGAGGCTGGGTCAGAGCGGGCTGCAGCCCTCGGGGGAGGCTGTGCCATGGCTGACTGAATCCTGGGAGGCAGCATTTCTGTCCAGCTGGTGCATTCTGCAGCTTCCTTACCATCCTTGGCTTTCTGGGGTCAGGCATATGTCCTGTGCCCTCCAGACCTGCCGCCCAGCAATCTGGGTTGTCGCCTTTGTCCTCTGGAGGAGGTCCCTCTGTCCACGCCTTATCTATGTTTGCCATGCATCAGGGGTGCTGCTGAAGAGTGCAAAGGGTTGGCCAACCCTGACCCCCATCCTGCCCGGGTCCCTGGCAGCTAACGGGTGTCCAGGGAGGGAGACCCACAGGACCTCGCTCCTGAGGCCATTGCCTTGAGAGCAGTGAGAGAACACCAGAGCTGCTTCTTGTCCCCTGCCCCTTGTGTTCTCTGCCCATGCCAGGAAAGGGCGGGGAGGAGCCTGGAGGATCCCATAGACCCCTGGGAAGGCCCCTTTCCAGTCTTCTCACCCCCTTCTCAGCTTCCCCTTCCTCCCAGTCCCCATCCCCATGCAGGTTGGGGAGGGGCCCCCTTTGGGACAGACTCAGGCTGAAGTTTGGATTTCAGCTTCACCCCTTCCTGGGCTGTGTGGCTTGGGCAAATAGATGATCAAACTGCTCTGGTCTTGCTCTCCCTCATGGACTGTGAGTATCTTGGTTCATCCTTCACTGGGTTCTAATGAGATTGAAGCATACAGGTGTTTGTCAAGTGCCTGGCCCAGAGCAAGTGGCCACTAATTGCTTCTCCCACCTCTCCCCTGCCCACTCTGATAGAGATGAGGGCATGAGAGGCAGAGTGCCCCGTGGGAAAGGATAGCCTAGGCCTGAATCCCGCTCTGCCGCTCACTCACTCTGTGCTCTTGGGCAAGGTGTTAACCTCTGTGCCTCTTAGCTGTGAAAGAGGGATGAATAGTAAAAATAAAGAAGTATATGTACATATATTTCTCCTAGTGTTGTTGTGAGGATTAAATGCGTTTATATGAATCTTAGAATGGTTCCTGGCATTTACTAAGGTTGGGAAACATGTCATCATTCAAATTGGAAGGGCTGGAGCACCTGGCTACAGCTTTAGAGGCAGACTCAGACCCTACTGCCTCATCCCCAACCCTATTTTAAAAAGTTGTTTTTATTGATTTCAGAGAGGAAAAGGAGAGGGAGAGAGAAACATCAATAATGAGAGGGAATCATTGATCAGCTTCTTCCTGCATGCCCCCTACTGGGAATCGAGCCTGAAACCCAGGCATATGCTCTGACCAGGAATCAAACTGGGACCTCCTGATTCATAGGTCAACACTCAACCACTGAGCACCACCGGCCAGGCCCCTCTTGGTTTCTTGGTCTCTGTGGGTGGCATCCAGTTCAGAGTGTGAATAGTACTGGATCGCTGTCTTAGGAGGAGGGGACCAAAGTGTCTTCCTTCATTGATAAGCACCTGGGAGGTGACAGTTGGTGGGTGTGTCCGGTGGCACCTGGCCCCTTTGCACCAGGGGCTTCCTCTAGGCTCGGACAGCCCTTCCAGCAGGCAGCAGTTCCCATGCCGAGCCAGGTTCACCCTCCACAGCACGGCGCCTGCTCTCACAGGCGTCTCCTAGGAATGGAGCCTCAGGCCTTGAGGTCCTTGCTTTCACCAGTGCACTATCTTAAAGTTGATGGCCAAGGACAACCCTCTTCCATCCGTCCCAGGAAAGTGGTGTCTAGGGTTCCTGGTCTAACCTGTGCTGGAAGTGATAACTCTCCATAGACCAAAATTACATATGCCCCTTGTGCTCACCTTTCTGCTCTTATCCATGTAGCCCAGGGCCACGAAGTTCACACCTGGTGTTGGGCATGGTCACTCAGCATTACTCATTCCCGCTGCTGCTACTGTTAACAGCAGTAATGCAAAGGGCTACCACTTAACCCTACACTTCACTGTGTGCCAGGCACTGGGCTTAAGCACTTGACATATATTGACCCCTTTAATCCTCACAATGACCCTATTAAAGGGGTATCATTATGACCCAATCTGTAGCTAGTTTGCAAGACTGGGAGGGAAAACTCTGGCCTCTGAGCCCCAGAGCTGGATATTCTCCATGCCCATGACCCATAGTTTGGAGCCAAGAACCCCATTTAGAGAGAGTTCATATCAACACATCCCTGCCCAGTGTGCCAAGTTCTGCCACCTGCTATAATAGTATAATAACATACAATGTGTAATGATATAGTCTCAGAGTTGTAACAATAATCATCATGTGTTTAGGTTCAATGGCCTGAGGCTGTGTCAGGTAGGGTAAGCCTGAAATGCCAGTCCTCTGGAAGCCAATTTGGTTTAACAGACATTGTTTTGTTTTTGTTTTTTTAAATATATTTCTTTATTGATTTCAGAGAGAAAAGGAGAAGGAGAGAGAGAGAGAAACATCAATGATGAGAGAGAATCATTGATCGGCTGCCTCCTGCACACCCCCTATTGGAGATGGAGCCCACACCCAGGCATGTGCCCTTGGCCAGAATCCAACCTGGGACCCTTCAGTTGGCAGGCTGATGCGCTATCCACTGGTGGCGGGGGCGAGGCAGAGGTGGTTAGGGACAATCAGGCCAGGAGGGGAGGACAGTTTGGGGGTGGGGAGCAGGCCAGCAGGAAGGGCCAGTTGAGGGCAAGCAGGCTGGCATGGGGGGCAGTTGGGGGTAAGCAGGCCATGCACAGGTTTGTGCACTGGGCCACTAGTCCATTATAAAGCTCTCCACCTTTTACACTGGTTTTAGCAGCTATTTGTGATAGTGCTTAATGATGATACAGCCATTATTTCATCAGGGGCTGCAAAATTGTGACATTCTAATCTTATTGTCTCTTTTGCACTTAATAACTGTAATTCTCTTATAACAAAGAACCTTCCTTAATCAACTCCTTGGTACCCTGAAGTACAACTTGTATAGAAAGGCAAGATTGATTCATTTATTGACCAGTTTTCAGAATGAGTTGGTTTCCTATCATCCTCTAGAGCAGTGGTTCTCAACCTTGGCTGCACATTAGAATCACCTGGGAATCTTTTTAAAATCCTGATTTCTGGGCCTCGCCCTCTGCAAATTCTGTTTCTTTGTTCCTAATGTGGCCCCACCCCATAAGAAAGAAACAGAATTTCCAGGGGATGAGGCCCAGAAATCAGGATTTTAAAAAGATTCACAGGTGATTCTAATGTGCAGCCAAGGTTGAGAACCACTGCTCACAGTGCTTGGTGTTTATGAACTCATACACATATCACCTGTTGGGCATTATTCTAAGTGCTTGGTGTTTTTGAACTCATTTACTCTTTTAAGAGTAGATACTCTTACCATTCTTATTCTTTTTAGTATTGGTATAAACTCATGCATTTTGTGATGAATTTCAATCCACTGGAATCACTCTTCTCTTTGATATTCAAATTGTCCCACATTTGGCCCTAACCGGTTTGGCTCAGTAGATAGAGCATTGGCCTATGGACTGAAGGGTCCCAGGTTCGATTCCGGTCAAGGGCATGTACCTTGGTTGCAGGCACATCCCCAGTAGGGGGTGTGCAGGAGGCAGCTGAACGGTGTTCCTCTCTCATCGATGTTTCTAACTCTCTATTCCTCTCCCTTCCTCTCTGTAAAAAATAAAAATAAAAAATCAATAAAATAAAAAAATTGTCCCACATTTGGCCAGTAGAAGCCATCCAGATTGATTCCTCAGTCACTTAAACGAGGCTCTACTAGTCTTAAATAGCTTCCTTTGTCTGTGGTATGACAAAAGTTTCCAACCTCAACTCTTGAAACTTCCTGCCTAGATGTTGAGTCAGCCATTTCTTCAAGCAGTAATTGTTCCTTTCAGTGAGAAGTGGTATTTAAAGGCTGCTAGGAGTGCTCATTGCTATGTGTTGTTCATTGTTCCAGGTTCTTTTGGTGGGTAGAACTAGAAAATACATTTTGAAAGAGAAAACTATATTATGACTTTATATTAATATTTTTCCATTCATTTTTTAAATTTTTTTCTTTATTGATTAAGGTATTACATATGTGTCCTTATCACCCCATTAACCCCCCACCCGCCACTCATGCCCTCACCCCCCTGGTTTCTGAGTCCTTTGGTTAGGCTTATATGTCCATTCATTTTTAAGGTTACAGAGTTTGGGGTGGTTGTCTGTTTGGTTTAGTTTGGTTTGGTTAATCCTCACCTTAGGATATTTTTTTCAATGATTTTTGTAGAGAGTGGGAGCGGGGGAGAGAGAGACACATCAATTGGTTGCCTACTCATGCACTGGGGCAAGGGATCAAACCTGCAAACCAGGTATATACCCTTGACTGGGAATCAAACCCAACAGACCCTTCGGCCCCAGGCCGACGCTCTAACCATTGAACAACTGGCCGGGGCATGTTACATTGTTTTTACTTAATTTATTTGATGTTATATTTGTCTTTTATCTTACCTGAAAATCTGAGTTGTTTTTTTTTTTAATATTTTATTGATTTTTTACAGAGAGAAAGGGAGAGGGATAGAGAGTTAGAAACATCGATGAGAGAGAAACATCGATTCAGCTGCCTCCAGCACATCCCCAACTGGGGACGTGCCCACAATCAAGGTACATGCCCTTGACCGGAATCAAACCCAACAGACCCTTCGGCCCCAGGCCGACGCTCTAACCATTGAACAACTGGCCGGGGCATGTTACATTGTTTTTACTTAATTTATTTGATGTTATATTTGTCTTTTATCTTACCTGAAAATCTGAGTTTTTAAAAAAGTGTTTTATTTCAGGGTGAGAGAGAGAGAGAAATCCATTGGTTGTTCCACTCATTTATGCATTCAGTGGTTGATTCTTGTGTTCTTGTATGTGCCCTGACTGGGGATTGAACTGCAACTTGATGTATCAGAACCATCCCTAACCAACTGAGCTGCCTGGCCAAGGTGAAAATCTAAGTTCTTAAAAATGTTCACTACTTTTTTGCTTTATCATTAAATGTATAGATATTAGTTCCAGAATAAAAATGCCAATATTATTTCCAACAATGTGATTACTAAATACTGTTTAAGATTTCTTTGTAGTTCTTTTTGCACAAGGGATGAAAAATCAAATTGCTTGCTTTAAAGTTGTTTGAGCCCGAACCGGTTTGGCTCAGTGGATAGAGCATCGGCCTGCGGACTCAAGGGTCCCAGGTTCGATTCCAGTCAAGTGCATATACCTTGGCTGCGGGCACATCCCCAGTGGGGGGCGTGCAGGAGGCAGCTGATCGATGTTTCTCACTCTCTATCCCTCTCCCTTCCTCTCTGTAAAAAAATCATTAAAATATATTTTTTAAAAAATAAAAAGTAAATAAAGTTGTTTGAATTCCCCTTGTGTAGCTCAGCCATCAACTCAATATAAAATCAAATCCTTATTTTTTCCATTTTTAAGGAAATATGTTTACTTAATTTTGTTATATGGTTATATAAAACAGTAACATGGTCCCAGGCAATAAAACAAGGTATATCCAGAGAAGTGTAGCTTCTACCCTTGAACCCTTCACTCTTTTTCCTGCAAAAGAGTATCACTGGACTCGCAATTCTAAGGACATCGTGATAGCAAGTAGAAAAAAGAGTAATTCTTTTAGCAATTACCAGTTTCTCTCTTTCCAAATTCCTTTGGATAGGCCTCCAGCAAGAAGCTGATTTCCAGCTGTTCGTTATAATGAAAGGAGTTTTCTTTCTTCCTATGTTACGTACAAGAGAATTGATTAAATAGAAGACAGCACTGATTACTGGGAAATCAGCCATTCAGATGGCCAGGCAATGGCACCTAGGGGTAGCGGAGGAGGCAGCACTGCAGTGTCCATCTGTGCCAAGGACACTCAAAGGGCTTTGGAAGAGGGAGGATTTGGCATCACCGGGTCCAGCCTCATGGTTTCTGGGTTCAAGAAGGTAAAGGATGCAGGAGCTGGACCCAGAACCAGAACCCAGGGCTTCCTCCCCTTCTTC